CACGCAGGTCATCCGTCACTTTTTCCATCTCAGTGAAATCTGCTGCTCACCACAAACCTGAAACACGACGCAGTGTCTTCCTAAACTTCTTATCCCACTGCCAACTACAACACCACCATGCTGACGTCCTAATTTCCCCGTATCCCACTCCATGTTCCCTTTTATCGGGTCATTTTGACGTTTCCACGCTGGTGGAGTTGAGCTCTTATGTCTTTATAGTTCTGGTCCTGTCTGAAATCCCACTGTAAAAATGTTCCTATAGCCACTAAAAGAATATCTGTCTGCTTGCATGTTCGGAAAGGATTGTGTCAGTGAGGAGTGATATATTAAGGCTGTCTGCGCTGTCTGTAGGAATCAACTTTCCTCCCTTGTAATAATATCTTATTCCTATCAATACTTCAATAGGTTGGTAAATTAACATTAAATCAGATAATGAAATACGGTTTATTACTGTAAATTTGAAGTTAAGTCTGTAAAACCAATACACTCTCAGAAAAAAAGGTACAAAAGCTGTCACTGGGGCTGTACCTTTTCAAAAAGTAAATTTTTGTCCATTTTAAGTGTTAATGTGTACATGTTAGGTGTTAATATGTACATTTTAGGTGCTAATAAGTAAATTTGTGGTGTTAATATGTACATTTTAGGTCCTAATATGTACATTTTAAGTGTTAATATGTACATATTAGGTGCTAATATGTCCATTTTAGGAGCTAATATGTCCATTTTAGGTGCTAATATATACATTTTAAGTGTTAATATGTACATTTTAGATGCTAATATGTCCATTTCAGGAGCTAATATGTCCATTTTAGGTCCTAATATGTACATTTTAGGTGTTAATACATTTTAGGTGCTAATATGTCCATTTCAAGTGCTAATATGTACATTTTAGGTGTTAATATGTACATTTTAGGTGCTAATATGTCCATTTCATGAGCTAATTATGTACATTTTAGGTCCTAATATGTACATTTTAAGTGTTAATATGTACATTTTAGGTGCTAATATGTCCATTTCAAGAGCTAATTATGTCCATTTTAGGTCCTAATATGTACATTTTAAGTGTTAATATGTACATTTTAGGTGCTAATATGTCCATTTCAAGAGCTAATTATGTCCATTTTAGGTGCTAATATGTACATTTTAGGTGTTAATATATACATTTTAGGTGCTAATATGTCCATTTCAAGTGCTAATATGTACATTTTAGGTGTTAATATGTACATTGTAAATGTTAATATGTCCATTTCAGGAGCTAATATGTCCATTTTAGGTCCTAATATGTACATTTTAAGTGTTAATATGTACATTTTAGGTGCTAATATGTCCATTTCAGGAGCTAATATGTACATTTTAAGTGTTAATATGTACATTTTAGGTGCTAATATGTCCATTTCAGGAGCTAATATGTCCATTTTAGGTGCTAATATGTACATTTTAGGTGTTAATATGTACATTGTAGATGTTAATATGTCCATTTCAGGAGCTAATATGTCCATTTTAGGTCCTAATATGTACATTTTAAGTGTTAATATGTACATTTTAGGTGCTAATATGTCCATTTCAGGAGCTAATATGTCCATTTTAGGTGCTAATATGTACATTTTAGGTGTTAATATGTACATTTTAGGTGGTAATATGTCCATTTCAAGTGCTAATATGTACATTTTAGGTGTTAATATGTACATTGTAGATGCTAATATGTCCATTTTAGGTCCTAATATGTACATTTTAAGTGTTAATATGTACATTTTAGGTGCTAATATGTCCATTTCAGGAGCTAATATGTCCATTTTAGGTGCTAATATGTACATTTTAGGTGTTAATATATACATTTTAGGTGCTAATATGTCCATTTCAAGTGCTAATATGTACATTTTAGGTGTTAATATGTACATTGTAGATGCTAATATGTCCATTTCAGGAGCTAATATGTCCATTTTAGGTCCTAATATGTACATTTTAAGTGTTAATATGTACATTTTAGGTGCTAATATGTCCATTTCAGGAGCTAATATGTACATTTTAGGTACTAATATGTTTAATGAGATCTCATTAAATAATGTGTACCACTAAGGTACCAATATGCAGCCTTTTGGTACAAATGGGTACCTTTTTTTCTGAGAGTGTAACGTTACCGTTTTTTTGACGGTAAAGTTCTGGCAACCACAGCTGCCGGTTATTTACTGTTGTTTTTTTTACAGTGTATTTTTTATAGTATAATGACCTCTCATATGTCAAAACGAAAATTTGGAAAACCCCTTTAATTATTAATTCTGTCAAATGAGAGCTTTCACCATTATGTACCAGCATTTGTTGAGTTCCTTGACTAGCATCTTGATGTTTCCTTCTCAAAGTCTTGAGCCTGAACGCACCACACCTCTGTTTTCTGCTATAGTCAGTGGATTTTTAAATGTGTCTATTTCTTCCCATCATGAGGTATTTACCACGGCAAATGTACAAGCGTTTAGCATTGTCCCCAAGAGCCTCGTAAAGCAGTGAGATGGCAGCTTCCATGAGCTCATGGCGTGAGCAGTCGCAGTGGTTATTAATGAGGCTCATGGATGGAGACCCGGCTCTCTCTCTCAGGAGTTTTGCACCATATGCCCGCTCTGGCTTTGGAGTTGTTGGTTGTATTTTGGAACGAAATGGGTGGGCAAAGGTACAGAATAAACTATTAAAACCCTTCTGGGGGAAACGGGCCAGAACGTTTCGAATAGATGTTTTGCGATTCGAGTTTCAGGGTTTTTTTGTTCACTGATCCTTTAGATGTTGTTGCACTTGCAGAGTGGAGAAATAGCATTATATACAAATGTATCATCATGGTCACACTATAATGCATTATAGTACATAAACGTAAACTAACAATAAGCTATTTATTTGTACAGCATTTATTATTTAAGTAAAAATAAAATTGTACATGTAAGTTCAGAGTATGTTAAATAATGTTAACAAATACAACTTTTGATTTAAAAAATGCATTAGTAGTTTTATTAGTTAACTACATTAGTGAGCAGCATGAACTAATCGTGAACTGCAAGTATACCGTATTTATTAATCTTTGTTTGTTAATTTAAACATTTACTAATACATAAATCTTGTTAACATTAGTTAATGCACTGTGAACTAACATGAACAAACAATCAGCAGCTGTATTTTTATGAACTAACTTTAACAAATACAGTAACAAATGTATTGCTCATGGTTAGTTCATGCTAGTAAAATGCACCTTATCGTAAAGTGTTATCAGTAAATGTAGAAATGAACATTGACTAAGATTCAGAAATGCTGTAGTTTACTGTTGGTTCATGTTTACTAATGCAGTTACCTGATTATAACAAATAAACCTTATTGTAAAGTATTAACAATCTCCAACTGAAACCACATTGAAAGCAAATCTGAAAAGTTTTAGTTCACATACTTCACTGTTAAATAAAGTTTCCTACAGGGTTTTTTTTTACAGTTTGATGCCATAGAAGAACCATTTTTGGTTCCTCAAACAGCCTTACATTGAACTGTTCTCAAAATAACATAATAAATAAATAAATGTTTTAGTACACTCTAAAAAATGCTGGGTTGTTTTAACCCAACTTTGGGTCAAATATGGACTAACCCAGCCATTGGGTTACATTTTTACATTACATTTTTAACCCAACATTTCGGGTTTGTCCATATTTGACCCAAAATTGGGTTAAAACGACCCAGCATTTTTTAGAGTGTATAAATTAAAAAAATACATATTTTGCGTATTGGAAAGGTTCCATGCACTGTAAGCGGATTACTGTAAATTTACAGTAACTTAATTTACTGTGAAATGTTTTACAGTATTATTACTGTATTTTCTCTTACAGTATACTGTAGCTTTACTATATTTTCACTTACAGTATACTGTACCGTTTACAGTATTTTTTTTCTTTTACCGTATTGTCATTTACAGTATTATTATAGTATTGATGTTAAAGGATCCTCATAGAGCCACATATGTCAATAAATAACTTTTATTTTGTGTAGAGTTTAGCTTTGAAATCAATAGGTCCCTGAATAGCAGCTTTATCTTCTCAGTTTGACCCTGATTTACCACACAAAAGATTGAGGTGCACAACTCCATATACATTATTATGATTTCAACCTCTAGAAAACGTGTGTGTGTGTTTTCTCAGAGTGTGTAGCACAGGTCAAACCCGGGGCAGGACAGCTGTGAAGTCTAAAAGAAGCTTCAGAATAGTTTCTCTCCACGGGTTGGTCATCCATTCGGGACGGGCCGTTTGTTTGCATTTGTTCGGCATGTTGAGAAGATCTCCTTATGATCCACCAGCTGTGCTTATTCATTGATTTTAAAGTATGTCAGGGGCGATTCAACCCACTTTCCATTGTTAGAAGCACTAGTTGAGCTAATCATTTCTTATTAAATTGTGTGAATTTCTCATTTAAGATCATGAATGTGCATGCATTTTGATTTCATCGATTGTGTTTGTGGTCATATTGACCCCAATTGGTTTCCATGCAATTTGCCAAGTATCAACATTTTGAAAAACAGCAAGAAAAAAACCCCCAGAAAACCTTTATTGTAGCTTGACAAACATCAAAATGGAAATTTAACCAATTAACACAAAGGAGGGTTCAATCTGTTTTTGGTTGCCAATACAGTCCTCAGCCACAAGCCATTAAGAGACTGAAAGTCATTTTTCACTAAAAGATGGTTTAGAATTTACTCAGAAATAATTATGCATTGAATTCAATATTCAATTTTGAAGTATAAAGACTGAAATAGTATTTTCTTGTTTAAAAACCTCTTAGTTTACAACAGAAACATAATTAAACCAATGCATGGACTGGAATCTGTAATTGATTATTGGTGTTGAATTCAGCAGCGTTTCCATGTTGGCCTGATTATGTGCTGCTTGTATCTCATTAAACGTTTGTTTAGGAGCTTCCCAATAATGGTCTGTGTTTCAGATGAATGACTAACAGAACTCCGCATCTTTCCTGTGTTTCTTTAGCTGATCAATAGGAAGGACAAGGCCACGTTTGACAAGCTGGACTACCTGACGTCTAAAGAGCATAACTACGTCAGGATGAGAGAGTACATCCGCTCCCTAAAGATGGTGTCCTGCATCCCGTACCTGGGTGAGTCCTCATATCTCTCCATTGCATGGTCCAAACCCGAGTTCAATTGCTCTCCCCTCCCTTACCACCACTGGATTGTGTTCACGTTATATTATTTGGGTCCGAACCGTGATGCTTTTGCATCATCAAAGCTGCAGCTGTTTACCCCTGTTGTTTGGGACCTGGAGAACCTGGCGAAATACATAGCATTGCTCCCCTCACTTTTTACATTTTGGTTTTTGAACCTTTGGCGAACAGCACTTGCGACGGTCTGCCGTGAATTTACTGCAAACGGTCTAAACAATGCGGGAGCCGAAATGTGATATACATTCTCTCTACTTGCAGGCCATCAGTCACGCTTGTGCGATAACTACACCCTAACTACAGGCTACACCCTTCGTACCATGTGTATAGGGCTTGGGTGCCGCGTTGCATTCTGGGACGTGGCGGCCATGTTGACAGCTTCGCGAATGTAAACATACAGCAAGTCGAACGAGACTTGAAAATCGGTACTATTAACAAGTCGAACCACGAACGACGTGCAAAGTGAGCTGAACTGCATGTGAACTTCTGAGCTGTATGAACGGCATTCGTGGTTCGACTTGTCGAGACTGTTTTCCAAAGATGGCGCCGCCTGTATACACGAAGTGAACTGTCTTTACAAAATATCTTCTTATTAAACGGTCTGTACACTTACAAAGTTCTCAATGCTTCGTTTTGCATGTATGGAGCCTCATTATGTTACTGTGTTAGTGTGGGACTATTTTGAGCCTTGATAGTGGTATAAACTAGCGATTTCTTTTTACTTATTAAATGCCCCCATATACTAGCGTATACGCTAAACAGTTTTAGAGATAAAACTCTTTACATTCGATTATCATGAAAACAAATCTCAGAGAACAGTCGACTACCAATGTGTAATTTGACCAAAGGTTTCTCCGTTAAAAGTACATGTGTGAATGATTGTTAGCACTAGCGGTTACAAAACTAGCAGCTAGGTGGAGCACAGCTTAGCTTCGTCCGGATTACTGTGTTCCCACTGTTTGTTGGAAATTTCATATGGATCCAAACCGTTAAAAGTGCCGATTTTGTCCACAACGTTCCCTGGCTTCCCTATTTAACGCATCAGTAAATTCCACATCCTTTTAGGGATTTTAACATCTTTTTATCTTTTATTTCTCCCTACTGTGCTGCTTCTCCTCGTTCGACTTGCTGTACGTTTACGTTCGCGAAGCTGTCAACATGGCGGCCACTCCAAGTAATGACATCACGACGCCCAAGTCCTCTTGAATGTTATATAAGTTAGCAATGATATCAAGACTGTTTCTCATGGTGATTTGTACAGAGGCTTTGTGGATTTGGACTTAAGCCTAAAAGGACAGTGAATGAGATCGACTGATCGCGTGCGATTACCTGTGTCTGTCTTTGTCATGTATATTTGTGAAAATTTGCCGTTTCCAAGGAAAAGCAAAATATTTGTTGTATCATCCTGTTAACATGTAAGTATATTTACTAGAGCCCGACCGATAAAGGATTTTGAAGGCCGATACCGATACAAATATTTTTGGGTTTTAAAATCTGATATTCCGATATATCGGCCGATATTATTATTTTTTTATTAAATATTGTTGGATTTCACACACGTGTAAAAGAAAAGCTAACTTTTCTGCACAAGATACGTTTGATACTTTTTCTCTATGTCTAAATGTTCACTCCTCGCAAGTATAACTTACATTTTACAATGCAGGGACTGTAACTAGAGATATGCTAGTTATAAATACAGTAATCATTACTTTATTTAGGCAGAAAAAGTTCATTGTGGTTTCCAAGCTCATTAATGTTAACGTTAGCGGTCTTCCACTGATGATAGTGGCATTAGCTAGCTTTGCAGTTAGCTAGTCTATGATGAGCCATAATTTAACAATAGATAACGTCATACTGCAAATTGTAAAACATACATTTTCAATATAACAGGCCAAGGAGAGATGATGATTAAAGCGCGTTTCATCCGCTTTTATTTTATTTTTTAAATATTCATTTATCGGCCATTATAACTGCCGATACCGATATTTTGGAAAATGCCTAATATCGGCCGATATATCGGTCTGGCTCTAATACTATTAATTGCGTCAGCATTAAGTGAAGCATTGCTTCAGCTTTGCCCAAAATCAGCATTACTGGCCAGCTGAGCTTTGAAAAGTGGAGCTCAAAGTTAAAATTACATCTATCATTTAAGAAATCAGCGTTTTTGAACGTTTTCGTTGAATGAACGGTTTAATGAATCACTTAAAGACAGGCCCGCAAGTTTGTTGTGTTCAGAACGATTTGAAAGTCTGGTAGACAATTGCGCTCGAATCAGCAGAACCGGACCGTAGCTGTTCCCCAGACCGTCGTTTATATGCAGACTGGCTGGGAATGGTTCACGGTTGTACACCCGAGCTCGGAAAGAAAAAAAAATGGCATCCAAACAACTCTAACGTCAACCAAACATTTTTAACATCTCCTTCTCGACCAAGGGATCAGGGTTCGGCTGGTAAGTGAAGCCCAGATCATGAAAGACACATGCGTTTTGTTATAATCCTTGGAATAAGTATTCCCACCATTTGAATATGAAACACGTCTTATTATTTTAGACATTTTTCAGTGTGTTCCCATGTTCTCTCACACTAGTGCATGTTGAACCAGAGTGTCTTTAACAGAGATCACACACGTACGGTTCTCATTACTTCAGTAAGTCTGGAGACTCAACAATAAATTGATTCCAAACCCAGCGATATCAATGAGCCGAGATTGCTGGAAGATGTCTCATATTCTTCGGGACTTAGTCATGTACAGCTGCTGTTCTTCTTTAACTCAGATTGGGAGAAGATGGAGCGAAGCCGCATGGCACAGATTAGATAGTCTGGGTTTGATTTGTAGAAACGTAAAGGTGTATTTCCTCTGGATTGTTTGATAACTTGACATTTTGACCACCTTTCTTGGACATGCTCATGTTTTTGGCATCACATGGTAGTTTTGCAATCTCAAACCATACACTAAAAACGATAAACATCCTTAGCAGCTCAATCTGGAATCAAGAACTGGATAGTAAGATATTGTTTGTCTGACTTACAACCACCATTGTAGGTTTTATGTGCAATTTAGATGATAATTGGCAGGCGTGGAGAAACACTGAAACAACATTGCATTGTTTCCATGTGTGCGTGCGACATGTCTGTTGGAGTGTTGTTTGAGAGTTTAAAGTTGTTTATTGGACTAAAACGGGGTGCTTTTAATGTTTGTTTAGTGAAGATAAAAGATAGAAAGGACACAATTTTCATTAACGGCCCCTAAATCTCGGACGGATTGACCAGTTTGATAGTAAAATAGTTGACTGTGGTCTGTAGGTCAATGACCATGTTTACATGTACACCAATAAAGCCATTATTTCCAGAGTAAGGTTTTAATCGCAGCAAGATGGACACATGACACAAGCAGAACTCTTCACTCCAGTTTACATGCAATTTTCATTATTCTGATTATTCGCTAATACTGTAACTGTGCGTTCACACCAGATGCGAATAGCGTGTCAAATTCGCGCCTACCGCGTCTAGTTATACTCTTGACCACTTTGAATCCATTCGCGCGTCAACAGTGAAACTGCCAACGGGTTTCGATTCTGACGCGCGTAAATTTCGCTGCAAATTTTTGTTTTTACGCGCGTCAGAATCGAAACCCGTTGGCAGCCATCTTTTTTATGTTGATCGAGCATTCATCGAGAGAGTCGCCGCTCTGTATTTGCTCTGGAGGCGTGTGGATCATCGTCACGTATTCGTGTCCATCGGACCCTTCGGAGGCGAACCGTTTGACGAGTTTCACCATTTGCTCGCTCCAGGAGCTGCGCTGGATGACGGCCGCTGTCAGCGGTACTTCCCCCTGTCCCGCGCCCAGTTTGATGACCTGTTGTCCCGCATCAGAGCGAGGATCACCCTCGCCCTCATCCATCTGATCTGTCATTTATTTTTATTTTGATGATAAATAGATCCAGCCTTCAAAAGTTATTAAAGCCACAATATGTATTTTTTCTGCATTAAAAATAGCAAAAATAACTGTATCTATGTTATATATTTCTGTTAGATATGTACTTACATTATCCCGACAGTTTCCACCAAATTTCAAATACGGAGAAATTTATAGTTTAATTCGAAGACACGGGACGTTTCTTTATTTCCGTTTCGTCGCCCGTCTATGGCGTCATATAACCTTTGACTCCTCTATTTTCTCTAACTTCCTTGCGGAACCCGGCGAAACCGCCAAACACAAAGGGGAACACTGGACTACCGCCAATAAAGCAAAGAAAATGACGAAGAAAAAAAAGTAGTACGTATTTTTATGTGTTTAAATCACGTGCCCGCTCACGAGCGCTCACTCTTAACAGACACACTGTCCCCGGTGCTGCTCGCGCATAAAGCGCTCCCCGTTCACAGTAACCGGGTCGTCTCATTCAAAACAGCCAACTGTTGCTGTTAGCGAGCCGCGCACATTGAATACTCAGGCTGCGAATGTACGTGCCCGCTTCAGCGTGCTCATACTTACTAAATAAACGCCTCACCTCCGGCGCCGCGCACTCACTATTATGTATGTGTATGTATGCACTCACTCTATATATGAAAAATGTTCTAAAATAGGTCATTCATTAAAGTAGCGTAATATTAATATTTATATTCGTCTGTATAATAGTTATGGACCACGATTACGCTTTGCCTGCACATTTTGCTGCTACGGCCAGCTCATTAGCTAAAGCTCAAACGTACCTGAAAAATATGACCCGAGAAGGGTTTGGGACAGGAGAAGCGTGACACAGGTAAACATTGGGGTTGCATTTAAAGCTTCTTGACAAGCTAAATCTACAGAGAGATGCCGTATATCCGTATATTTTGTGAAACGATGATGTCATGTCATGAGCTGAGCTGGTTGTCATTGACAGCGACAACAACTCCCGTGAGCCCACGCTCTTTCCCGACGTCATCAAAGTACGTCTT